GTATATCGAATTCCGGATTGCCAAGACTCTACTGTAGGTCTGTAGGTATAGCCTTATATAGGTACCTATTATAATTATTTATTGTAGACATTATATAAATAAAATAAAATTATTAATACTCGATATAATCAAAATATTATTATGTTTTTTTTTTTGCTGTGCGAGCTGCTGTTGTTGTTGTGGTTTTTATACACCACGACTGCACGATTTATCGTTTTATCGTATTCCCGATATATAATAATAACATAATCTTTTTTTTCGTTTAACGATGTTATAATCGTTCCCCGATGGGTAACATTATACCAGCGCGGTATGCTTTTACGTTATCCCTTTTTTTTCGTTCACATAACGGCCCCCTCCCCCCGTCCCTTCACCGTGGCAAACATTATATCGAGTAACCCGGCGAAACTATATTACACATAATGACGTTAGGATGTATATAGGTGCCTAAGCGGGGTGGGATGCGAAAAAAAAATCAGGTCGTCGGGCGTCGGAGGCTGGGTCGGCGTACCCCATCTCATCCACCCGCGACCGATGTATTATATATAAAATATTGTGTCTTATTCGCACCGGGTCTTCCATGGGAACCAGCTACCTGACTCTCGGACCAGTTCTCATCGATCGTCGCCCTCACACACACACACACACACACACACACACACACACACACACATGCGTGGTTTAATAACACAATGACGCGACAGTGTGACGTTACAATATACATGTATATTGTATAGTGTATAATACATTATGGGCAGAGGGGGTTTTTACTCGCAATCTGCCGAGTTATTATAATAGTTCGGCTCTAGGAGACGAACGGAGACCGAATAAACAGGTGATGGTTAAAGAGGAACAGCACATTTTTGAAAATCCTTCGAGGATTATGCAAATAAGAAACGGCTAGCCGAATGCTGATCTGTCATGGATTTGGTGACTTTCTAAAGTTTTGTCCGATCATCACCGAAAGAAATAGGGTACACGTCTTTACCCAATTGGCATAATCTGTTTGTCCTCGCCTGTATTTGAACGAAAAGTACTCACACAGCGATGTATGCAAAATAGGTACGTGGATTGTAGCTCGTGACAGAGCTTTTCATACCTGCACTCATTACCGTCAGCGAGAAGCAGAGATGTCAACTCACTCTTTCCGTCGAGGGTTAGAGCAATATGACATGAGCTTCAAAGATATAAAAAATGCATATCACACCCGCCAATACATGCGATTATACCTATAAATATACAGGTGATACGACTTAAGCGCTAAAGACATATAAAAGAAACGTTATTTTAGCCAATATTAGTATTTTATATTTTTTTATGTATTTAAAAATATATAAGATTCTCTGTAATATGAATAGCCGTAAATGTTTAAATTTATTTTTCATAAAACTCTTTTATTCGCAATTGTTTTTTTGTAAAATTCATCATCACTTCGGTATAGCTTACGCAAATGCTTACTACACACTAACACAAACTACATATTATATGGTAATATTATAGTCAAGGTATGGTACTGAGAAGTAACAGCAATGGTATAACTCGACAAATCTGAAGCTCAATCGTTATCATATTATAATAGATTTGTGAATTAAGATTATACTTACATAATAAATCGGCTGTAATACATGGCTAAGTTTGGCGTTTTTGAATGATATATAAATAGATGGTTTCAAATTTAATATCCGCAGGAATGAAGCACATCACTGGTATCTGGAATCTTAGAGTTTTTTTACGATATGATTTTTTTTTTTAATCTCATTTCGGCACTAATGTACTCAGGTCGGTGTTAAAGGGCCTTTGTTAATATGCACCAAAATCGTAAAAATATAAAAATATACATATATATTTAGGTTTTGGTAATGATTGTGCCACTTAATTGTGGCACTTTTTGACAAATTGTAATTTGCGCCTCATAAAACAGGATAAAAGTGAATTGTTACGTAATATGTGCAATCTTGTACCTATAAAAATTGTAATTTGCTCCACTTTTCACCTTATTAAAATTGTAATTTGCACTTCTTTAATAATATGATTAATAATATTTTTTTAAAACTCATTCCTAAGAATTTTATTCACCAATTAAGTTAATTGTAATAGATAAAGTACCTAGGAAAATATTAAAATGTGCATAAGTCATATGGTAAAATAAAAAATGAAAGCTAATTATTGTAATCGTAGGTGTATACGCATACTTTGTGAACAAATGAGTAATATTTCAGTTAATAATAAAATAAAATATGACGCAAGAGTCGGAAATATTATTATAATTCATTATCCAATTGTTAATTTTATTAATATTTTATGTTATTTATTCACGTTTTATGTACTACGTATAATACTGCATGAGCTCTGTAAATTGATAAGTTAAGTTACAATAGCTTAAATTGATTGTGTGGTGAAGATTACCAAAATTTAAATGAAGTACTAAAATTTACTACTAAAATACCATCTTCTACGTACGAGATTTAATTTTTTTGACCACTCATAGCAGCTAATACCGAGAAATTAAAATCACAAACATAACCGAGGTAGCTATTCAAACGGTCATACTTCACCCGAGACGTCGAAGAGAGAGTTGTGGAACAACATTAATATTTGACTATCGGATCGATGTCGTTGGAGCGTCTCAAGATTGGTCACATTGAGCATCTTTTATGTTTCGTACTGAACATGTAATTTTCATGCATCAACATTTAAATCCAAAGTTCCATACCACGAAGTTCATTCGACGAATATAGATTTTCAAAGATGACGCAGTATTATTTCTCGATCACCCTGAGTATAATATGAAAAGGGTTTTTGGGTTGATCGGTCCCACACGCACACACGTGCACGTACAATACATATATATACACGCAGAATACGATACGCTTCCGAGAGGCGAGACCCATCACCAGAGGTGTGTGTGAGTGGGTGCACTCTGCCCGCGATTTATGCCCGCTCTCCTGCACAAGCGAAATATACTATATTGCCGCCGACTGTTGTAGTTGTACACCGACATATGGTTATCACACGCGGAATTTCTGGCCTTTATTTTCGGAGCATGGCCATTATTATTAAACGAACTGCAGCAGTATATAATAATAACACGATGTGGCCGAGGTAAACTCCTTCGCCGCATTATCGAAAGTGATGATGATCGAAGGAAAGGATGTGTTATTATTACTATTATTGTATTATTATTATTATTATATATTGTCCTTAATGACGATGCGCTGCGCCAGAATATATTGTGTGCGTGGAGGCGTTTTCGGCGCTCGCCCGACAGACGTTTTTCTTATACTGGTAGGCAGGTACCTGTCTAGTGTGCAGTATATAATATATATATATATATAGGTACATTGTATATAATTTTTTTAACTGCGCACACACGCCTGTCTGTCGAATGGGTTCGTGGTGCAAAAAAAAAGGATTGTAGCCCGTTAAAAAAAAAAAAAAACTGCCACCTGGTTTTCAACTCGAATTACTGTACCTATTCCGCGCTGCAATATAGCGGGTGGAAATCTTTTTAATTTTTTGTTATTTTTGTTATCCGACTGCCAGATCTTTTTTCGTGATTCCTTACGCACTTCGACGATATTCGTGCACGCGAAACGTACGAATTTTGGTGGAAAAAATCATTAAAACGAATTATAATTTGTGATAAAGACGCTTATTATTATTCTATAATAGCCACTGCATGAATGAATGATGCCTGCAAACGGTTATTACTTAGGCACTGTAATACACTTGCCGCCATTATACACGCCATTTAACTCGTCAGGCGGACGGATTATTCGTCATTTCAATATAATATAACATTCGGGCCACAATACGGACACGCGATAATAATGCATTATGTGCGTTATAATTTATGTAACTATATAATAAACGTTTGAATTTCTTTTTGTTTGAATTTTTATTCAAAAATGGGTAGTCAAAAAACTACACATTTTTTTGCTTTTGTTACTACTCTGCATTATATTATTAAAATTGCATAATGATATTCAATTACATATCAACATGCCAAATATTTTTTAAGCACTTGGGTATTCAACATTTCAAAGACTGTTCAACATATTTTGCAGGCTTTGCCGTTTCTCGATGCAACTCTCAAATACACCTATACCCTATGAGTATTTACTTATTGTGCATTAATTAAGTTAATACCTATGTAATGGCTATTCTGTACTATATACTACCATTATTTAGCATACCTACCTGACTTAGGAATAGGCAAGTATTGTATACCTTAACGACAGCAGCAATAAGTGGCAACAGAAGCAAATATAAATACGTATAGTGCGGTGATATGCTTCAATTATTATTTGTTTTCATTTAATGGGTAATTAATAATTATTAATTTTATTCGTAAACATAAGTGGGGACATGTTACGATATTATCAAAATGAATTTGTATGGTTATTAATAATACGAACATATTGTAACATTCATGTTAGAGGCCAACCAACAATTAAGTATAAATAAATGATACTTATAACTTATAATTTATATTGTATGTACCTATACATACTTGGTATTATAATAATAAACATATTTTTTTAGTTTCTGCATCTAATCCATACTAATGTATCTTGACTAAATAAAACTAATGACGAGGCATTTGGTGTGCATGGGTAGCTAATAACATAAAAAATTTAAGTTGAAAGATGTCTGCACTTGGTGATACAACGATGTTTAATAAAAATATATATTCAAATAATTTATATTTGTGAAAAATGTATACGTTTTTCTTTATACTGTCTTATTTCAATTAATTACCTCAGTATTGCTCTACTACAGTTACTTTTCAATAATAATTATTAACAATTTACGAATATAACATATTATAATAATAATATATACATTACACATACATAGTATATATTTATACAGTGTATGCCTATTAGAAAAGGAGTTATCTGTACAATATATATTTTATTCGTATCGTGAAGCTCATAAAAAAAGCACTCCATCGACGTGCAGAAGTAATTCGAGTTAACGACCAGGTGACAGTCTTATTTTTTTTTTCGGTCGTACAGGTCGCCTATCTCTATATTATTTTATTTGTGAACATCTGAACCCGTTCGACTGAGGCGTGTCTGTGTCCCATTATGCACTGCAATCGAACACATAAAACGTGTCTGGCAAACACTCGGTATCTGTAGTAGGTTCATATAATAATAGTTCGGTCGTTGTATTGACGAAACGGCGTTTTCGCTTTTATTGTTGTTATCACGATCAGAGTACCACAATCGATAGATGATAACAATATATTTTAAGTATATTGTTGTGTGTAGGTATCCACGTGGCTGTGAAGTCATCAATTCAGTTGACATTTCGACACAACCTCTGTCTGCATTGATGCGATTCCGATAATGGTCCACTGCGGCCAACGTATACATAAAATAATAAAAATATATTATAATATGGTCGGCGGCATTTGTGCTACGTGTCATTTTGGACATTCGTGTCTGCAACAGAATAAACGTAAATAATATATTACGCGATTTCAAATGTAAATCATAATAATATTTCTAATATACTGTACACTAGTTTATTATATTATTATTTGCATCGGTGTTGGATTATTGATAGATAATTAAATTTCTTGTCTCCGAATATTATGAGCATTGAACGTCTAGTTAAAATGCAAATAATCTTAGTAGGGCTGACATATTGATACAATGTAATTGTTTATGTATGCTGTTATAAAAAGTAGCTAAAATAGTGGAAAATTTATTCAGAGAATTCTGATTATTTTTTTTTTTTTTTTTGACAAATTTGAGTTTATCAACATTTATTTTATAATTTATTTTGAAACAAACTTAAATGTAAGTAAACAATGCACAATTGTCGTAAAACCATCATAATAATATTGGTAGAGACGCAGAGTGCGAGAGTGGTTATAGATAGTGTCGAACAAGTATACTAGATGATATTCAATAACTACTCTTCAACCACCTGTTTTTATACTTATAAATACCTAATTAAACATAGGTCATACCCTTACTTCCATGTGAGCTAGCACCTTAGAGTGTCTTCTGTAAAATAATGATCAACACGTTATCGTTGTATCATTTTTTAACTGTCAGAAACATTTTAAAAGTTCATATACCTATTTTAAGATTGTTAAGGATTTTTCATTATTTTTTGTTTTGGTGATATTTTAGGATATTACATTTCCAACCTATAATCATATGTACATATAAATGTATAAGGTCATATTCAACATTTCAAACACATAAAAGTTATATTTCTACAGATTTCTAGTGTATAGAAGTTTGTGCATTCGAAACGTATAGATAGGTCCCTGATAAGTGATAACTAATGTGCCCATGCGTTAATTAATGTAATTATTATTTAAATGTAGGTACACACGAACTATGTTGAAGTCATATTATAATTTATTTCGGCATTGGTCCTATCGGAACTCTTCCGGTCGACACTGTTTGACCTACAACAGTTTTGCATTGCGATCTAATAACGTGTGACCAACAATACCTGCAGTGGCTTAGATTTTATCATGGCGTAATAATATACAGAAAATATAAAAACAACAACAGTTGTAGGTACATACATACAGGTATAATATAGGTAGGTATGGGTAAAATATCGCGTGAAAACTCACTATACGATGTAAAATGTTCAGCTCACAGGTGCTGGAACGATGAACTGTCTATACAGTAATGCAGTAAAAAGGCACCTCTACATTATTATAGGGTCTTAAATCTTTACAATATAATACACAGTCGTAATATTTGTATATATCGACCCGTTAAGGTAAATATATTTATTACGCTTTATTGTACGCTTTTCAAAAGATAATAATACGTTTAATACGTCATTTGTACTGCATGCAGTATAATATACGTAGGTATAATAGTTAGGTATATTAAACTAATTTATACGATGCATTAAGAGCTTTATTACATATTATATAAATATTTTTTTATGTTAATAAATTATAGTATCCATAATTCGGTAATAAAATAACCATTTTATTATCTACAGTTAATATGTGTTAGGTCACGAAATGAAAAAAAAATGTATAGGACGTATGTCCTTAAATTAATAATATGTTCCAGTACTTCACACATTGGATCAATGCTCTTTATTGTTTCGTAAAGTATAGAGGTATACTTATACCTATTATTTACATATGTGCGCTTGAACACAATAGTTTCATTTTTCGCCTTGAGAAAACATCTCTTTTCCACGGAAGTTAAACATAGTAGTATAATACGTGTAATTAATTCTAATATTAAACATTAAAAATCCAAACGCATTTCATTAATTATTATAACTACGGTGCAATGGGCCCATTAGCAGTTAATTGTATTTTGAATGATGCCACGTCGCTCTGTGAATTTTGATTAAAACACTTTTTTCGTACCTACAGACGTGTTTGCGAAATTACTTTAGTCACGATAAGTGCAAATATATTCTCATAGTTGAGGGGTACAACCTAGGCAAAACACAGTAAGTTGTAGGTGGTCACGATCAATAAATTCTATGGTTTAATTGGATTACTGCAGTTAGCCTAAACTTGTTAACATCCGTATTGTTTCAAATATTATACATTATTACGTTGTGAAATGAACAATCGAATACCTACCTAACTTTATTGTGCTCGGCACAATCTGTTTCGACATTTTTTCTTTCAAAAGGAAGCTGGGAATAGTGTTTACATACCTGTATAACATTATGCCGTCCGCCTGTTCAAATAAAGTGTTTGTCGATGATGTGGATAATCACAGCGAAGAATGTGATGTATAAAAGAAGTGCTTCAGTGGAATACTGTTACTTCGACTCAAACATAAACAATGAAAGGAAAAAAAAATACCCTAAAGGTTAGAATAATATTATATTATCGCAATAACAACAGTCAACAACTACTCCACTAAAATAATATTGCGAACACTACGCAGAAGAGCCAATCAAGACGACGTCTTGTTATTACATCAAAATAATAATAATAATATAATAAAAGTTTGTCTGAAAAGAAATAACCGGCTATAATCCGTTATTTATATTCGCCAATCAGCACTCGCCCACATTATTTCCTTTAATAACGAATTTATTCAGAATCTGATTTTTGGAATTATTGGACGTACCTAATGACCATATTATTATCAAATTATTGACATTTTTTTCTACTACCTACGGAAAAAATATTCTGTGGCAATAAAAAGTCTGTTTTCAAAAGAGAAATTAAGATTTTTTTTTGGTATATTTGTTCTTACATTTATCAAAATAAAAGTCAAACCGAGATGTAATTATTTTATTTTTCGATGTACATAAAAAAAACCATAGAGTCAATAAGGATTCATTTTTTGAATCCTGGAATCTAGTGAACAATATATTTTAATTTTGTTTTATAGTTTTGATTGTAATCTATATGTCGACATCTGGTGTACAGCTGCAGCCCATTTAGCGTCATTTTCAAGTCATTATTTTTTTTTTGTTAGTACATGGTCATATTTTAGAGAACAAGTTAAATGTGCGTCACGTATAGGTGTTATCAAAGGTACCACGATAAGCACTCGACAGCTATAATATAGGTGATTGTGTTTTTTACTTTTTTTTATCAACCAAAATCTCCATTTTCTATTGTAATATTAAACTACAATTGTTGCGCCATCGAGCTAAAATATTATCATTATAAATAGCGAAATTAACACTCAATGGCACATACTGTTATTTGCCCATGATAGGTATTATGAGTAGAAACTAGAAATGATTGCTGCTGCTGCTCTGAGAGAATTAATAATTGTGGTCGTGTAATATGGTATGATGAATTATAATAATAATAATAGGTTTATGGTTTTATGGGATTTTTCATTTTATGTAATTACGATAAATAATTACTAATACGTATTAGGTAGGTATATATATATATATATATATATATATAGATATAGATACGTTTGAGAGTGACAAATATTAATTAAAGTTGCCTTCAAATATTATTTTGTTACAAAGAACCGTTTTATCATTAAATTATTTATATAAATGAGATAAATATTGTCATTAGTTAATAATTATGACTATCAATAAATTGACAGTTAAAGCAATATTGTAAATATTATATAGGTACTTAGCAGCTTTGGTATTAATTCAACTACGTGTTAAATAATTAAATAATTAAATACGTAATGTAGTTAATAGTTATATACATACCTCATGCGTTGTTCTGCGAATATAGTTATTACTTGCAAATATAGTTATTACTACACCATATTCATAATATCAACGAGTTCGATGCAACAATGAAACAGAGCTATGCAAGTTTATGCAAGGGTATGTACATTATTGAAAATAATAATAAGTTAAATTAAGCGAACACAGGACCGTTAAGTTAGATTTCTTTTATTCATTGACAAATAATACATTTAATATCTCCAAGTTTCGAGTTAATACGGAGACATTTTTAACCTAATATAGTATAAAAAAGTATCTTTTTTAAATACATTTTAGTTCGCAGATTGCATACAAATTGATTGTGTTCTTCTAGTTTCTTAAATTACAATAAATAATTTTATTGAACATTTATCATAATCTTCACGGCAACATAGGTACATACCTATTTTAATTTATACGATTATTAAACTAAACACATCTCAATTTTATAGCTTAACAATTATTAATTTGACATGTCAAAAGGCGATTTAAGGTATTATAATTAGATAAATAATTTGTTATCATAATAAATTTAATTAAATTTGTATTTAATTTTAAATGCTAATTATATTAATTTGTAATTTTAATTTCTTTAAAAATATCGTTGATATTGTCTATATTAAAACTCTGGTGAAACACTCTCTGAATTTAGCTATTATGTTTAATTATTAATTTGATGACAATGTATCAAAATGTAGTACTTTTGATCAGTACATTTTCATTTTCACCACAATAATTGACACATATCGGATATTTGATTTCATAATTTTGGAAAATATAATTAGCGCAACACAATATAATATATTATATTATAATACCTAAGCACAATGTATTATAATATATTTGTTCGTACCTATACTTGAACGCTATTCGTATTATTATTACTTATGAATACTATATTTAATATAGGTAGTATATTATTTATTATACTTATACGCATCATAATTCATAATGCCTAACTGGGATATTAAAAAACATGCAATATTAAACCATGAAAAATGATTTTAAGTTGAACAACTCTGACCATAAAAAATGATTTGTTCCATGCGATGGATGTATTTATGTATAAACGTGTTGATCGATACCCAGTAAAAATAATAATTATAAAACCAACACCGGTAATATGGTTTCTTCGGTAAGTACCTTCTATATAAGTGTGCATAGGTATAGCTAGCTTGGTACATACATGGGTACTATGCGTAATGCGTACGATTATAACGGTCGACGACCGGTCAGAGAAAAAGACATACGCAGACGCATAGATGTTATATTTTATCTCGTGCAGTGCCCATCAAGTATAAGTGCCGATGCTTCGAAAGTATAAAAATAATGACAATGTTGTGATGATTTCGATGATTGTCGATCCTACGATCAGATACGTACCTATTTACTGATAAATAGAATCGATGAAAAAATAGTATAATACGTCCATCGTACTGATAATAATATTATGAAGCTGTTCAATGGTATGTTCGATCGCACTATAATCTTATAAGCTACTGAACCGTTATCGATGAGAGCTGTACCGATAGATTCAAAATGGCTCGGAGGGTATTTTTAGATAATTTTTTTTAAACCCTCATAAGTTAATATATAGGTCGGCCGACGCCTGAATTTAGTTTTGGCCGTCAAAATCGACATAGTTGATTTAACTAGGGTATTGCCATCGGTTACAGATTATATAACTATTATGAAAATGGCATATGATTTTAAAAATAATTACAAATATGTTTAAAAAAAAAATCAGATCTTAAAATCAAATACTTATGAACACAATTACAACGATTATTTTTATGATTTGCAACTTACTCATGCTGGACATATTTTTTAAACGAGTGGTGGTTTGGACAAGAGGATAAAATTGGACGTCAAAAATTAAAAATCAAACATTAAAAATACCATGAGAAAAATTAAAAATTAAAACACAATAACAGCAAATGTTATTTTTTATAATATGATCTATAGATCAGAATTAAAATATAGTTAAAAATGTTAAAAATTAATAACTTAAAATTCATTAAAATTGAGTAAAATAATTTGGGGATTCTACGTAAAAAAAATTTATTTTAGTTCTAGTTTATATACAATTAAAATATAATTATTATAACACCATTGACATTATGTTCATAACATGTTTTATAAAATCATAATGTATATACATTTTTTTTTTTGATATTTTATATAATTCATTTTTTGACGTATTGAAATAAGTATTTTTGAAATAGTATTTCAACTTTTAATTTTTACAGTTAATATTTTCATTGATATGATTTATTGTTATTTTTCACGTTCAATAATTGTTCTCACGTCTAAAAGGCTACCGTCATTTACGATTGTCCCTATTCACTTTTTAACACATATAAAAACAAATACCGATGTGATCTGAACAATATTAGATTAAGTCGAGTATAAAGTATTCTTTGAATAAATCTAAATGTTTTTGTGTATGCATAAAAAAATATGTCTACAATTAATAGAAGTGGATAATCATAAAATTTATCATTGAAATTGTGTTCAAGAGGGGTTTGTATTGTATAAAACAACCTAAGCAAAAAGGGAAACGAGATAGAAAGATTATACTCTTAACCTGGACAAAGTAGGGTAACACAACTAGTGCTTACTATATAATAATATGTAAAATGTTTTACTATACCCATAGGAGGTACCCACATTTTATTATTGTATATTTTTATTAATCGAATACAACAAAGCGTTCGCATATTTCGTTTATTGATCATTTCATTTACTGCTATTTGCCAATTTCGTCGCATTTATTGACTATTGTAAGGTTTACGACTAGTATTTGTTTACAAAGAAATACACGTACGTTACATATGACCCATATTAGCCACTAGTTATAACCCAAACAGAGAAATATTATTCTAAAATTAACAATGCTATTTTGTGCGATATTTTTCAGCTTTTAAAATATATTTATAGGTACTATAAGGATTAAAGTCCTTCAAAATGGGCTTAAAAAATTATGAAACACGTGTAATATTGTATTTAGTGTTTATTATACTTGGACCATATTTTGTGTAAATCAATATGTTTATAAATTAATATTAATTTTTAAAATGTCCAAATCACCATAACCTTCACATTGACTTACCATAAGCCCATCAACATGGACAATGAACTTATTGTCCTTAGTATACTGCAAAGTTACATTAAGTAACTCAAAAACTAGTCGTTAGCGTTTTGATGTCGATGTAATTTTCAAAAAAAATTATACACTAAATAATTTAGAGTACAAATTTTGTTGTGCAACGATACCAAATAATAAATATTTTCCAAAATGTTAGAACTTTTTCAAACAACGAGTATAGATCCTAGTATTTTATATCAAATATTCATAAATAATTACATAATTTCTTATTATGGCAATAAGATTTTTTATACAGAAATTGAAAATTCTGTGAGTATTATATTATACAGTAGTCAGTATTAATATGTATTATTTATTAAAAAATGACACTAACTATGTGGCATAAGAAATTAGACAACATAATTGGTCTGCAGGAAAGGGTAATGAAATAAATTCTGTATATTTACGAGAATAAAAATTTCCTGTTTCAAACAAGCGGGTAATTTATGAGCATAAAATGAAATATGTGTATCAATCATTTATTATCATAATAATTAATAATAATATGTCGAACGCATTGCCTTATCAAATCGATTAAATTCAAAATTGAATTTTGTTATTATGTCCTAAGACGGCAATCACGTGCAAATCACACGTGACAATATTATGCTGGCTGCAATATTATTTTTACAAGTAATCTGCATCATTTGATACAATAAGATATAAAAGTAACTATTGCTAGGCTTAATGTAACAAATATGACAGGTTAACATTATTTAGATGAATTAAGCCACCTATTGATGACACTTTCTATGGTTACTTAGTTATTATAATATTCATACTTTTTTTTTAACAAATCACGACACCACTTGTGATTTATGCGTCTTGGGGGATTACCAGGTAAGGTAGCGGAGGCCACATTTTTGATAAGATAATTCGAATGAGTACTTAGGCGGCCGTGGAATATTTTATATGAAATGTATTTAATTAAACATGAACATTTTAAAATAATGCAATCATTTAAGTCTGCTGAAAATGTGACAGTTCATGTTTATCAGGAAGTACGTTTAATGCACCAAAAAACTATTTAATAACCATGCACTACCTATTATGCGCACTAAAAATTAGTAAAATAATGTGTTCTCCATAAATATGACAAAGACATTAAAAATGAAAACAGAGAGCTCATTTGCTGTATAGCAGGTTTTGAGTGGGTCACTGCTTGTGTTTTTGAAAATTAGTTGCATATATTTTGTTTATTTATGATTTGAACAGACACGAATACATTGTAATAAAATTAATGATCAATATAAAAAAAAACAATTTAAAACAATATAACATAATTTAGAATCATAATGTATGCCTAAGAACAATATTATTATTATTGTACAAAATACAAATGTATTATTTTATTGATAATTAAGTTTTGTTTTGTTACTTATACTTTATTTCTTCTCTAAAATATAATAAAACCAGATAAATAATTTGATTTGTATTTATTTTTTGCACTTCTCTTCTTCACACGATTTAATTTTAGGGTAGGTTGCATTAAATTATTAAATTGGCCCTGCTCCGAACAGATACAGCGTGGTTATGTAGGAAATACTGAATCCAAGTAGTGGTAGCGGGGTCACTATAGAAACCCATTCTGGGTTTTTTTTTTAAAGTTAAATTCTATATTTGAAGTCTGTGCTGTTACAAAATATTTATTATCGTCGAGACAAATAAAACAAATTTAACAATAATTACACACGGGCACAGCGTGTTTCACCTCGTGCACTTAACACAATCAGCCGCCTACTTGCTACAAATTATACGAAATAATATATACATACGTCTACTGAATAAGCTTCAAGACTTACATAACCATATTAGAATATTAAACGGGAGTCAACATTTTATTAATGATCATTAATTCGTTGATGTTAAAATGCAAAAACTATACATCACAATGTAATACCAATTTAATACTCATATTATTTTCGTATACGCACAGTATTATACTGTTTCATTATTAATTGTGTTGTTGACA